CGAGACAAAAACATGAAAACCCATTATAAACGAGGCATTTGTTGCATCCAGTGGAGACATAATTACGGATTATAATTACTTTTCCTGTCTTTTTACACGTTGCATCGCGCCGCGTAAACATAAATCCATGTCTGCATTTGTGATAGGAGAAGTGACAAACAACAAGCACTCCTCTACACTGCTCAAAACTCGCGTTTGAATCATCAGTAGCAAATCCTTTAAATATAAAAAACGTACTTACAGTCTGTGAGTCAGAACAGCTGGCATTGTAGTCTACAAATATGAAAACATACTTACAGGCTGTATCAGGCTGAATTGCCCCACTTTATAGAAATAGCCTTTGTGCACAGCCGCATTGTAGGCTACTCTCCCAGGAAACAGTCCTCCATAAAATGTGCTGCACAAACTCGAATATTTGGTTTGAACTGTTCTGGAACAGTGTTGTAAATACAACTTAACTAGTTGTGTTTCTCTAGTTGTGTCCTCTTTTGGAAGGCCAAACAAAGTAGTTTAGCTTTCATAACGAAACACACAGCATCACACACGGCGGGCTTGTGTGAGCGGTGGCCGGCGGATTCGACGAAGGAGCGTCCGGCAGGCTTGCGGCAACCACATGTGACGACCCATATTTTTTTTAACCTTAAACTGCATAAACATATTTCATTACACTAAATTTTACGATTTTTACAGGGGAACCCCCTCGAAACGTGATTGGACTAGTTTTATTGCGAAAACCTGGCAACCCTGTTCATAGGCGCCACCTGCTGTCAGAGAGAGCTCTCATTCAGACCTGCTGTTTTTGTTTTGTGCAGATGTTATATGTAACAAATAAATAAATAACACCTAAAGTCAGACCATTCTGTTTTTGTTTTAAATCCTGAAATTAATCTAAATCAAATCAAAAACAACTGCCCGTGCAGATCGTGATTAAAATGCAGTGGTTGCCTCTAATTTCAAATGGCTAGATATTTTTGTTTAAAGCCAGTTTGTTTGTTATAAAGCAAATAGCCAATAAATAAATTTGCTTAAATATCAGTATCAGAATCCAATTTGCTAGTAAAAAAAAAAAAAAGAAAGAAAAGAAAATCTGAATTCTGAATCAGCTATGATCAGCGCATCACTAATTAAAATACTAAGTAAAAGGCCTCAAATTTGAAGTACAATCTGGGATGTCTTTTTCTATCAATTCTTCAATAGGTAGATCTTGTCTTTCATAAAGGCCGAGGTCAGGGATCTTGGGCCTAAAAAGGTTGGTGACCACTGCACTAAATACACAAAATAATGTTCTTTTTAGCAACATCATATGACCCCTTTAAGCTCCTTCAACAGTATTTGTAGCAATGTTGATAACAACCAAAAATACTTCACCTCCACCATAGCCTCCACGTCTCATTCTCTCAAAGGAGACTCCTCTGCCCATACTGTTGTAGCCGCGGCCGCCTCCAGGCCTGTCATAGGGGCCCGGTCTCTGCATGCTCATGACCTTACGCTGGGGTTCATAATGTGTGCGCACTTCCGCCCGGCTGCTCTTGAAGATCTCTATATACCTAAGGACATAAATGCAGAGTAATGGCACCAGGGTCTACCGGCAAGAGACAAGAGCATTCCTGCGTGCAGTATAAATAAGGGCTGTCTGAAAACGGGTCTAATGAACAAACACCCTTAGTTAGAATGAGTCTGGGATGCCACTAATTAACAGTCAGCCTCTCTGTTCAGTGACTTTACATAACAGTTTCCGAAAAAAGGAGACACAGAGAGAGACAGAAAATAAAGAACCCTTAAATATTTAGTTTCATTCAACCCTTCATTACAAAGAACTTTTCTTATGGTCACCCGAAGGCAGCTGGCAATGTGTTACTGTGGTCTGGGTCTTATTGGACTTACACGCTGCTTTCGTTCTCTGGTAGCAAAACACTTCAGACTGTTAGGGTTAACTTTGTATTACCTGTTTAACTGGGTCCTCGTGATCTGAAGTCTTCAAATGGTAGAACTGAGAGATTCCTATTGCATAAAACTTAGTGCTGAGTGGCCATGTGACTAACCTATCTGTCAAGCAGGAAAGGGTTGACGTCAAACATCTCAAATAAAAAGAAATGTTCCTTGAGCAGCAAATCACCATATTAGAATGATTTCTGAAGAATTGTGACACTGAAGAGTGAAGTGGTGATGCTGAAAATTCAGCTTTGGCATCACAAGAATAAATTACATTGTAAAACTTTCAAATAGAAAACAGTTATTTTAAAGGGTTAGTTCACCCAAAAATGTTTTCATTAATTACTCACCCTCATGACATTCCAAGAATGACCTTCATTAATCTTCAGAACAAATTAAGATATTTTTGATGGAATCTGAGAGCTTTCTAATAGTGGTCGACCGATATATCGGCCGATATTTGGCATTTTTCAGATATAGGCATTGGCCGATAAGTTTTTCTGTTTGGCCGATGCATTCGAGGCGGGACTTTTATTTTGACGGCGCTGAGAGCGGCAGCGCCTGCGCACACAGTGCTCACATTCTCCCTCTTGTTCGCCGTCGTCGTTAACGGTTCTGTCTAATACGGATAGAAGTCTGTCTAATAATCCGATAGAACTGTTAAACAAAGGAATTAAAATGTATACAAAAAGTATTATAACGATTGCTTTTATTAGTAATAGAAAGGCAAGCATTATAATACTTTCTCATTTGCCGTCAGCATTCAGCAAATATGCATTTACATAATTTAAACAAATCTTTGAATGGCTAATGAAAATTTCATTTCACAAACCTTGCAAACTTAGTCGAATCCAGTTGTAAGATCTTGTGAAGTGTGCATGTGACCTGCATACTTGCGTGTTCTCTGCGTGACTTTCGGTCCGTGCAATCTGAATGCTTTAAGCATTAAATTTGTGATTTCAAATTATGCTGCGCTTTATGCATTTGCCCACCGTCATATTCATGTCATTTTCACTGTGTGCTGTATGTAAAATGAGTGTTACCTTGGCTTTATTTGAAAAAATATGATTCCCAATGCACACAAATTTCTCAGAATAAGGAGTGCTCTGTTGGTTACAGTTTACTTCCTTTTTAATTATATTTTTATTAAATATTTATGGAAAATAAATACTTTGTCATCTAAAGTATAAGTATGTTTATTTTACAAATGTATTTTTTTATCCATTTTCAAAAGATTTCAAATTTCTTAAATATTCATGAAAATAAATACATTTATATCGGCCACCCTGCTTTCCAAGATATCGGCATCGGCTGTCAAAAAAACAATATCGGTCGACTAGGAGTCGTGGTAGTAGAGGCGGCACAACTATAATGACATGTGAATAATCCCGCCCACTCTAAAGCGATACTAAACTGCAGTGGAAACGCAAACCGAGCCGAACCGAGCCGTACCGAGCCGAGTCGTACCACGCAGTGGAAAAGCGCCTTATCGGTCGACCACTACTTTCTAACCCTGCATAGACAACAACGCAACTACCACGTTCAAGGCCAAGAAAGGCAGTAAGTACATCATTAAAAAATCCATGTGACATCAGTGCTACGACACTACTTTTTGTGCACAAAGAAAACAAAAATAACAACTTTGTTCAACAATTGATTCTCTTCCGTGTCAGTTTTCAATGCGTGTTTACGACAGTACCACAACAATTTAATGCTAATAGAGAAGCCGGTGTTCTGGCATAAAACATCCATCTCTCTTAGTTCATCGTCATTTCAAGTCATCCTCTCTGTTGAAATCTTTAGACATGTTTATGACGACTGTTTTCTCTCTGCTTGTAAACAAGGTGTAGTGCATCTGGTTTCTACCTCAGAACGGCGGCTCCTGCATAGGCATAAAAATATCTTAATTTGAGTTCCAAAGATGAACAAAGGTCTTACGGGTTTGAAACGACATGAGGGTGAATAATTAATGACAGAATTTTCATTTTTGGGTGAACTATCCCTTTAAATTGTAATAATTTCACAATATTACTCATGTCAAACATAAAAAGTCCAAATACTGTCGTATTAAGGTGCAATTACAGATGAAATCCAGTCATTTAATAGGAATCCACATGATCGTGAATTTCATGTGAGGACAAAAGATTTCCCCTTGCAGATTTTGCAAGAGGTTTATGCTTTTTACGAATTCACTACAACCATCAGAAAACTGCTTGGTTTGAAAGTGTCTTCTATGTGAACTGTGCTTCATACATCGCTACACTATAGACAATTTACGATGAACGCTTTTTGCCCAAATAATTTTGCAGAAATTCTACTGCAACTTTAATACATCTGGCTGATATAACTGCCCATTACAACCCAAGATGCTTTGAATGCTCATGTAAATGACAGTTAAGAGTAAAAAAATCACTAAACTGTCTCAAAAGTGCCCACATTCAGTTATCTCTCTAAATCTACACAGTGCAACTCAATGGTTCACTCAGCACTAATAATACATAATCTTTAAGGCTTCTGGACCTCATCTTCCTTGTTTTTTTTGTCTGCCGTCAAATCATCTGTGGTCATATCTTGCCATTTCTACAGTGGATGATTTATTGAGGTGAACACCATAAGAAAAGCAACGTATCCAGGCAACCAACCAGCCATCCCCACCTGTGCCCTATTCTTTCCTTGTGTTTCTTTAGAGCCTTTTTGGCTATATCCTGTGAAGCAAACTGCACGAAGGCCTCCCCCGTACTCCTCCCCTGGAAGTCCACCGGCAATGTTATCCCATTTGGCACGATTTCCAACCCTTCAACCCAAGGACAGATAACCCCAGTGGGGGACAAATTAAGTCACAAGCCCATTAACAAGACTTTATATTACTCTATGGGTTTCTCTTTATGTCAAATGAGAAATGGTACTACATAAACATTCCAAATGGGGCCACAATACATTTGAACCTTTTCTGGCACAATTTATGGATAATTTTGTGCAAGAAAAAGAAGGGTCACTTAAATCAAATGCCTCTTGAGCTTCTGTCTCAACCCATCTCTTGTTTATTTGGTAAGCCCCAAAAATTACCTAGATTGTTGTGCACCTGTTTTAGGTATATAAAAATACAAAAAGGGCTGAGGCAGTTTAATTTAGAAGGGAAAAAAAAAGAAAAATGCACAAATTCTAATAATTACATAAACGGACAACGCTGGATAAAAAAGTGACCCATCTTGGTCCTTCTGGATGGTTCAATACAAATTTCAACTATTCCTAATTTTAAAGGTTATATGACTGCAAATGAGCTCTTTAATTGAAAAGTGCAAATGATGGTCCGATGAACTAAAATAAACCTATGATAAATGGTGACATACTGTTTAATTTTGAGTAAAAAGGGCAATTCGAAATTCCTATCGGACATACCTGCAAAAAACTGGACAATTTCCTCCTTGCTGCATCCAAAAGGCAGACCACGAAGCCTAACCAGGCCGTCCCCTCCTGTGTCCGGGCAGTTCGGTCCGGGGTGCTTCAGAACCCAGTCCATCTCAACACTATTGGATTTGAATACTGAAAGCACATGTGAATCGATCAGTATTTTATCTTGATTTGGTGTAGTTCACCAAAAACAAATTATTTGCTGAAACCCTCAGGTCATCCAAGATGTAGATGAGTTTGTTTCTTCATCAGCATTCAGATTCTTCATCAGATTTGGAGAAATTTAGCATTACATCACTTGTTCCCCAATGGATCCTTAGCAGTGAATGGGTGCCGTCATAATGACCAAACAGCTGATAAAAAACATCACAAGTACTCCACATGACTCCAGTCCATCAATTACCATCTTGTGAAGTGAAAAGCTGTGTGTTTGTATGAAACAAACCCATCATCAAGACATTTTTAATTCAAACCATTGCCTCTGCCTTGTCTGAATCAGGAGAGAAATATGCACAGATCAAGCATGGTTTAGAAGTGAAAACAGTCTGAAAGTTCTAAACAAATATGTTGATGTTGACTTTGGAAACACACGGTTTTGCACTTCACAATACATTAATTGTGGACTGGATTCATGTGTATTATTTGTAGATTATTGTGATGTTTTCATCAGCTATTTGGACTCTCATTCTGATGGCACCCATCCATTGGTGAGCAAGTGACGCAATGCTAAATTTCACCAAATCTGTTCTGATGAAGAAAAACTCAACTACAAAGATAGCCTGTGTGTGCATACATTTTCAGCAAATTTTCATTTTTGGGTCAATTATTCCTTTAGGGATCCTAACTAAGGCAAAAGCAGCTGTCTACCTTCTACATAACGGTGGCCCATTGTTTCACGATCTTTCTTCACTGCAATTTTAAGATCTTCTTCTGATTCGAACTCTACAAATGCTTCTCCACTTGGTCGCCCTTCCCGTGTGTATGTGAAGTGTATGCTTGTCCCATTGTTTGCAATTTTGCACTCTAAAATGAAATTTAGCTAGTATTAGTCAGGCAGGGAATAAAACCTAAGTGGAAAAGATTTAAGCAGAGGATTTTTTTTTTTTACCTGAGAAAAACCTCTGAACTTCATCAACAGAACAGGACCACGGCAAACCTCTGACTCTCACCACAAAACCCTCTCCATCCGCCATGCTGGAAACAACGCTGTTTAAACACAATATATAAGATAGTGACTCTATAATACGCTATAGTATAACACAAAATCTAATATATCTTTTAAAGTGATCTGAATTTCAGACACTTCTCTGCATTTCAAATGAAGCATGACCGCATGGTAAACTACTCCAGACATACATACAACATATAAAGCAAAATGCTAAGCCAAAATAAATAAACAAATAAACAGGGGCCAAATATTAATTAAAAGCTAATCCAATCAATCATGCACCTAAACATTTCCTATTCATTCTCTATTCAGTCAAAACGAAAAAACAAGAAAATCCCTTTAAGCATAAAACAAGGCTCCATGTGAAAAGCAAATAGTTATTTTCATAATAAATGAGGGAAACTAGCATAACTGAGGAAACGAAACTGTTAGCTTAGCGAGCTAGCTGAACCACATACCTTCTGGTAAACCCTGCAAAGACGCTTCTTCTACTCAACCGAAGCAAAGTGACGTGATTTACCTACCCCTTAATAAAGTATTTTACCATATAACTTCTTATATATGTCGACAATAAGTAAATTAATAATAAAACGCGAGAAGCTGAACTGTGCTCACGTATGAACGAGCGCTAAACGGCGCTCTTCTCCTCTTCACTGATCTGAGGGGGATTGAGAAGCTAAAGAGGCGTTTGTCGACACCTTCTGTTTAGGATGTGAAATTACAGCGCTCTAAATCTATATGACATATACCTAAATTTAGTGTGCCATATTATTTCAGTACATGAAGTACATTCGCTATCTGTATCACGATCAGGAACTTGTGTTACTATTTACATACGAATAATCCAAAATGAATTAAACATATCACACCTTTGAACAGATTATATCATAGACCGTAAAAAGGGTTTATATTCGCATTTGCCAGGCCTATCACTCAACCAGTCTGAATAAAAGATTTTTTTTTCTTTTTTCTTCTGAGAAATATACAATATATAATATAAAGGCTGCATTCACAACCCTATTATTAATGTAAATTGTTTTTCAACTGAGTTTAAAGCTGTGTTTAGAGTTTAGACATGTTCCAAATATCATTAACACACAACAACAACAACAACAACAATAATAATAATAATAATAATAATAAACAGCTCATATAAAATTACTTGACCCCCTGGGGTTGGCAAACATAATTTTTATAAATGTTAACCTTTTGCTAACCATTTGTTGAAAAGTTTTTTTTTTTAATGTTGTAGGCTATCCTATAATTATGGAAGCACGTTTTTGACAAACAAACAAACAAAAAAACAAACAAATATAATAAATAAATAAATAAATAATGCTTTGGTAAGTCAATTATGACGCAAAAAGTCGAAATTATGACTTTTTAATCATTTTAATAATTTAAGCATCTTTTAATCGCAACTTTTTATTTATACTTATGACTTAGTAGCTTTTTCATATATTTCACCCGGAATCTCATTATTTCTATTTTTATCTTATACCTTTTTATCTAATAGATTTTTCAATCATAATTATTATTATAACTAACGAACTATTTGTTTATTTATTTATTTGTAGAAACTTGGTTTCCATAAATACATACATTTGTCTAAGTGCCGTGTTCAAATTCCCAAAAAATTCAAATCCTTGGCGAAGTTTTGTAAAAACAAATCTATTTCCCTGACAGATCTGGCAACCCTGCATGTTACACGCCTGTTTTTGTTGTTGCTCAAGTGTCGTGTATCACATGATGCGAGTCACGTAGTCTGAGCTGTTGTTAAATACGGCGGGCGCACCCCCAGCCCTCAGCTCCACCACCGCGGAGTGGACGGACAGCCTCTCTCAACGAGTACCACGAGACCAGCGCAGTCTGCAACACGCTAAAAACATCTTTGCCGTTTTTTATGTTGTTGAAACTTTGTTGAGCTAAGTTTCATCCTAAACAAACACTTCATATAGACGATTGTTTAGAGCCCTTACATATCATCGTGTTCAGTGGCACAGAGTTTTGAGCGCATTTCAGCCACGATGTCCGCCAGCACGCAGCAGAGCAAGAGCTGCCCCATTCCCACGCGTGTCCTGCACCTCAAAGACTGGTCCCAGCTCCCAGACTGCTACAGTCAGACCCCTGGAGGAACACTCTTCTCCACCACACCAGGGGGTAAGACTGTGCCATGGACTCTGCTTTATGCCTGTACAGTTAGTGTAGGTCGGTGAACATGTATTTAGAGGAATATAAAAGATTCTTTTCTGGGGGAAAACAGCCTGAGATCTTGGCTGCTCTCCCAGCATGGTGTGTTTGTTGGTTATAGGTGAGTTTTGTGCACTTGTCAATTGATCAGTTTGTGAGACCAACTTAAACCAGCTAAGACCATGTTGTCCAGCCAAAGACCAACAAACCATCTTGGTCTAGTTTAGGCTGGGTTTTCATTCAGCAGTGTGTGTAAAATTTTTGGAGAGACATGTTGCCTTCCCCTACTTTACACATTCAAAAATATAGATAGATAGATAGTGGATTGTGTACATCAAATTATGCAACAGAGCAAGCAGATGTTAAGATGATCACAAATTAAATTAAAAACCATTTTTTCCCTTAAGCATTATTTTTGTCTTGTAAATCTTTTATATTTTTGCATGAAGATGATTGTCAAAGATGATTGTGATTTTTAACCACTGAATCTCATCTCTAACTGGTTGAACTAATGGTGTTACAACTCACCACTCACCATGTGTTGAACTGCACAATCTCAAATATTTTAAGCAATATGAAAGTCTGATGCAATACTTTTTAACCTTGCTATATTGGTTGACTTGCAGTAAGACACTATATTATTTATTTATTTGTTTGTTTATATATTTATTAATAAATTAAGCCAGGGGATGGGCATGCATTTTAACAAAGTACATTAAAACTAAAACCTCTGTTTATTTTATTAGATTGTAATGATCTGAGATATAGTGTGCCCACAAAACGTCTCACTGGTACCCATTCCTGTTGCTACAGAAACGTTTGTTTTGAACAAGTTAATCATTTATGGCAGACCATCTGCAGCAAGATAGCCCAACTGCCATGCTTGTTATGTAACAACGTCTGGTTATCTGATTTGCGACTTGCATGTCCCATATGATACTAGGCACTGAGTTAATCTAATCTTGTGAAAAACATGCTTGACCCCTTTTCTTAACGGGCAGGACCCTCCACCCCACATGTTTCTCAGTCTCCTTTGTCCCTCACTAGTATATCTTTCGCATGTGGCTGTAACTGTAGCACATGCAGAGGAGGAGGCAATTCTTAGAAACACCCCTCCTCCTTCACAGCTGTTGTGGATTTCAGGAATAACAGAACTCTATGTGCTCGGGAAAATGGGTTCATTGGGGCCACTGTATCATGGATGGTTCCCTCAGGGTGGAAGCAAAATATCAGATCAGAGGCATGTGCATTCGTGTGTAATAAAATGCTTAATGGTCCATTTAAGATTTTTTGCATTGTGTTAATACATAATATACATAACAAATAATTCATACATAATATCCCCTGGTTTCACAAACAAGGCTAAAGTCCAGACTAAAATGTCTGTCTGGGCTGTTTCAACTGAAAGAAACTTGCACTTAGTGATCTTAAAATATATCATTTCCATTGTTTTGTCTCAAGATGCACACGAGTAATGTTTTTTTCTAAGGCACGTTTATAAAAACTACTTAAATGTCCTAATCGAACTATGGCCTAATCCTGGCTTAGTCTAAGCCCTGTTTGTGAAATCAGGCCTATATATATATATATATATATATATATAACAAATGATAATAAAAGTTGTAATAAATAAATAAATAAAAATTTGTAAAAGTTGTGCTTAATTGTCATGAACATAATGTCACAATTACTCCCAAAATTTAAAATAATTAAAAACAATAATAATAATAATCTAATAATAGGTTTCTCTTCTTTATAACAAAATATAATTTAACTTTTCTTTTTTTGCTGATTTTGGGGTGAAATAATGCATACATCACTGGGTAGTATTTGTTGTACTGTTTCTTTAAATAACAAATAAATTAACATGTCACAGTTTGCAAAAATTGCACACTTGCGATTTATATTTAATTGTCCTGCGATTTAAAAACGTCCACTATCTTGAATTCTAAGAAGCTGAAGAGCAATCGGGGAACAAAACATGCTTCAGCAGAACAAAGTCCTGCTGAAACCGTTGGGTTGGTCTCTCTGCATTCCTCTAACCAGAGCAGCTGAGCTCACAGTTGAGACCACTGTTCGTCCAACCCGTCACCAGCTCCGTCCACACCCTGCCCTTCCCCCTTGTCTCTCAGCCCTCTTTTGTCCAGAACACACTGAACTAAATAGCAAAAGATTGCATAACATGTTTTTCAGCCACTGGTAGGACTGTTGGGTACAGTATAGCCTCAGCTACAACAGAGATGGCACTACGTTTAACACATGATAGCAGTCGGAACAAACCTAACCGGGGCTAGTTAAGCTCCACAAGTTTGTTCACAACATGTTCATCTGCTACATTGTGGTGCCCTCATGTCTCGGCTCTGCTTGCTCGCGTGCAGATGTGCTCAAATTTCCTAGAACTAAAATGGGAGGTGCCGAGTCCTGCAATTCAGTTCAGCCCGTTTTTCATTGTGGGAGCTTGAGTGCTTCTTTTCACATGCAAAATGTCAAACGTTTCAGTCTTTGTTTACAATCTGATAGCGTGGACGTGTTGAGTGGCACATCAAGTTCCTTGCTACCTTTCTTTTGTTTTGTTAAATAGATTAGAATTGCTGTTCAAGAAATCCTCTTCAGTCACATTTTATTGTCTGTTTTTGAGTGCTGGATTTGGCTGGAATCCTAAGTTGTTGTTTTTTTTCTTACACGTTGTACCCTGCAGCCTAGAAAGTAAATATGTTTTTCTAGCTGTCTGATTGGTCACTGTAATATACGTTCTATCCCTCCTCCAGGAACTCGGATCATTTATGACAGAAAGTTCCTCCTAGACTGCAGGAACTGTCCCATTGCCCGGACCCCACCCTGTTGTTTGCCCCAGATTCCTGGGGTGACCATTCCTTCACACCATCCAATGTCCAAACTGCAGGAACTCAAAGAGGAGTTGGAGGAGGAGAAGGATCTGGCAGGTAAAATTGCTGTCTGTTCCAGAAAAAAAAAAAAAGGAAAACCTGTTCTGCAATAAAATTTCCAGGAAACTTTAAGCCCTCAGGTTTCTCCTGAAACAAATTATTTTTGTATATCCTGTCTGGTCTTTTTTGTCTTGCAATTCTGAGTTTTGTTATTTTGCAATTGATTTTTTATTTTTTTTTGTTAGAGACACTCAGAACTGTGACATAAACTTGAAATTGTGAGGAAAAACTGAATTATGAGAAGTTGCAATTACATTTTTTTTTTATTAAAAAAATGAATAGCGGGATGTAATCTAGGAATTCAGAGAAATAAGGCCAGAATTGCAAGATATAAACTCACAATGCAAGGAAAAGTTACAGAATTGTGATATATAAACTCGGAATTAAAATAGAGATATAAAGTCAGAATTCCAAGACAAACTCAAAATTGCTAGGTAAAAAGTTTGAGCTGCAAGAAAAAAGTTGCAATTAAATTTTTTTAAAAGATAAACAGAATTGTGAGATGCA